ACTGGCAACTAACATCACTTTATTTTCTTTTTTTGTGATTGACTCAACCTTCCCCAACTTGGAGCTTTCCACATGTGTTTGGATTGCAACTCCCAAAATAACAGCCATCTTGGCCAAAAGCCATGGAAGACTGATTAGATAAACATGCAGAGGGGTAGGTTTATTACTAGGTCCTATGAAAGTCATGTAACCATTCAGAGATTACCCAATGTTAGAGTTCAGTGACCACAAAGATGGAATCAAACTTCCCCTTGTAAAACCATCTGAATTATCTGGCTGCCAAGCTAGACAAAACCAGAGGAAAGGGTCAAAAATGTTAACAGGTGGCCACAACCATGCTGTCAAAGCATTTGTCCTTTTTCTACAATTGCATGATTGTGGCCATCATTTTTAACCAAGTCCTGGCAGGCTGCCCTGGATAAGCCCTGATTTAAATGCCAACTTTCAGACTTTCAAACCTAAAAGTTCAATGTGGCTGAGGAGAAGACCGACACACATCACTTTCTTCTCTATGGCAGGTTCCCTCAGCAGGCAGGTTAATGTGTAGTTGAGAGTAAACATTTTTGTTTACCTTCAATACCAGGAACAGGTTTTCTGAAATTGTTATTTTTGGTGATGTCACTTACTGAGTGAGAAGGACAAGTCAGTGCCCTTGGCAGAGAGGAAAAAGGTCATAACAGGAAAGAGGAGCAAGCACGGGTGCGCGGAGGTGTGATTTAAATCAACAATTGGGATTCCCCGCTCTTCCGTGAGCCCAAATCGAAATATAATCGAGAGTAATAGGGACAGTAGGGAACCAAGTTGAGACAGGGAAAAACTTTCTGAACAATAATTGACAAGTAACAGACACACTATGGGCCTTCTTTTCCCATACTGTGTGAGGCCAGCAGGAAACATCGAGACCATGTGCTCCATTCATCTCACCTGGTGGTTGCTAGGTAACAACAGGCAGAATAGCAGCATAACCTTTACAAAACCCTACTATAATTTTAACTGAAGGCAATTCTTTTGTTTGTTTGTTTAGATTCCTCCTCTGACAATTTAGGTTTGTGGCTTTTAAGCAGTTTTCTCTCTTTCCCCTCCCTATTTTAAATCTGTTTTTCATTTAGTGTGGCCCTTTTCTTCTCAGCCAGACAGCCCCCACCACCTTTGGCTCTGTGGAAAAAACTGTTGACTTGCCCTGGATTGATTTCCCCTCTATTTTGTCTCCATTTCAATAATGCAAGTCTGAGAGTTTTCTCTTATTTCCAAGTGAAGGTTAGTTGATTTGCCTGAGCCACAATGTGATTTTTTTTTAAATTGCAATAAAATAATACCAACTGACTAAAGGAAAGTGGCTGGTAAACCTGGGAATGCAGAGCATAATCTTCATTGGTTCTCATCCCAAACTTTCCCACTTCAAATATAGCAATTCCACCTTTAAAAAATATCAACTTGCAATATCAACTTGCGCATTACAATAATATCAGCAATCCAGATACAAAGAATAATTTCTTAAGTGCTTGTGCACACACAATTACTGTATATTAGATCATTTATTTTTAAATTTGAAAGCTCAGAATAAGAACAAGCATTGTATACATTCTTTTCTATGCCTACCTGCATAGCATTTTCCACCTTAGGAATGAAGCCAGGGAGCTGAGCTTTCCTTGACAGGTTTAATGCAAAACAAAGAAAAAGAATTGGTGGATTCACTTCCCTCCCAACAAGCATCACATACTGGAGGGAAAAACATGCAAATACTAAAATACAGGTAGTCTTTGACTTTTGACCACAATTGGGACTAGAACTTCTGTTGCTAAGCAAGAGGGTTGTTGAGTTATGTCTGATTTTATGAAGTTTTTGCCTCTTGGTTGTTAAGGGAATTACCCTGGTTATTAAGTGAATCACACAATCTATTCTACTTCCCACACTGACTTTGCTTCTTGGAAGGTAGCTGGGAAGCTTGCAAAGAGAGATCCCATGATCCTGCGATGCTGCATAAATACATACAGGTTGCCAAGCATCAAAGTTTTCATTATATTACTACAGGGATGCTGTGACAGTCGTGTGAGTCACTTTTTCCAGTGCTGTTGTAAGTTCGAATAATTGCTAAATGGATGGTTGTAGGTTAAGGGCTATCGATACTCTGTTTAACATATGTGAGTTTCTGGGGAAGTGTAGGCTGGTGCTTTAAACAGCATGAATAGCTAATTGACAAGGTGCCCAATTATCAGACATGGAGGTAATTTTCCACCTGCAGTCTCAGACTATTCTAAACCAGTCTCAACCCAGCTGAAAGGCCAAGAAATTTGGGAAGAGAACCCAGGCCCTTCTTCGGCTTCACCCTTTTCCCCATTCCCATGCCTGCCTCCCTCAAGCATGGAAGAAGCTGCAAAATCAAATGAGAGGGGATGATCATTAAAGAAAGAGAGTACTGCAAGAGAATGTGAGCAAGTAGTTGTGGCAGGTAGGAAGTGAAAGGAGCTTGTGCAAAGCAAACCAAACCAAAAAGGAGCCATATGAAATCTCGTGGTGAAAAAAAAGGGATCATTGGGGACAGAACCGCAGCACATAGCTTACAGTATTTGTCTAACAAGTCCACATTTGAGTCAATTTTCTGGGTAGATGCAGAATTTCTGTTTTTTCAGCACAAGTCTAACCCTCTTTCAAAAGAGCACCAGATCCAGGAGCCCGTGTAAGACCTGACAAGTACCTGAGGCAGGCATTATGTGAGTAGATGATTCTGCAGAAGTCTGATGACCATTATCTCCTGGTTATAACAAGATGCAAAAACTGATTCTAGCATAGCATGTTGTGTGACCTAACCACCCCCCTCTGCGTGTGTGTGTGTGTGTGTGTGTGTGTGTGTGTGTGTGTGTGTAAAACATAGAGACAAAAAGAAGCTGAAAATGTTGCTCAGCATTTTCAGGACAATGATGACAACTAAAATGAAGACTTCCTGATTAAGACAAATAAAAGGAAGTACATTGTCCACAGGATGCAAAACTGAGAAGAAATCTATGGAATGCTGGTGCAGGTGCTGCTCTAAAATGTTTGTTTGAAAGTATTAAAGGACACCGAGCCATTCTCTAGAAGCAGTTCTTAGCACAACTCAATCCTTGCTGTATTAGGCAGGACAATACAGCCCACCTTTGCAATTTTGAAACATACCACATCACAGAGCACCATTAGTGACACAAGTCAGATGAAGTTTATCAGTTGCTTTTATTGGACAAACAAATGCTGCCTTCTTCCAGAATTTCATAGTGGAAGATCATACCACTGTTTCAAATGTGTTTTAAACAAGAAATTTAACTATGAGAGAATTGCAAACTTGCTCTCATTAAGTCTCTAGGAGAGTCCAGATAATCAAGTCCAATGACTTCATGCTTTCTTCTCTATTAATGTTGCTAGGTAAGATTTCTTCCATCCTTCCTCCCTTTCTCTATACAAAGTTACACAGAATTTTATATTTAAAATAAAGACTGTATGATTGCTCGCAGCTGTTCAATTGTGTAAGCATAAAAAGTAATGGTGACAGTGGGAAGAGAAATGGATATCTATTCCGAAAACTGTTTCTGATGTTAAAACAGTTTTAAAATTGCCCCCCGCTCCCCCAAAGAGCAATAATGTATATAGAATATACAGCAGGAATTGGATAGTGGCAGAAAATTGCAGTCATTTAAAAATGCTGGTTAAATATGGTTTCTCTTGGGCAGAGCACATGGGGAGATAATATTAGGAGACGGAATACATGGCATGTGCTGTTCAAGTTAACAGACGGTATAATACTGTATAATGTGGCAAAATTGCATACCTTGTATTCTTTAGGTTATGTATAAATAGTTAAAATGTATGATAAATATAAATAAAATTATAAATAATCAGTTACAGATCAAACTAGAAAAGTAATTACAAGTTATTTTAATAATTATGATAGGAATGATAAAAAGCAAATAAAAATACCAAAATCAGATATAAAGATGAAATAATATAATCTTAAGTTATTGCTTTTTAAAAAAATGAAGTTGGTGACCGCAGCTATTCCCCAAATATTCTTCAGAAGATTTCATATCAAGTAACTTTGGGAATGTTATAAGACAAGCTTTGTTAGAAAACAAGCTTGCATTCTAGGGAGAGGTTATGGCGCCAAAGCCAGAGCACCAAATAAAAAACAGCATCATCTTTTCTATTTCCCTTCTTTCATCAAAGCATAGACATTACCAAAAGCATCTCCAGCTGGCTGGTTCTGCACAAACCACTGAAGCAACAGTATCTCAGTGAGACAATAGGGAACATATAAACAGAGAAAGTCCTTCGGATTCTTACAGTATTGCGTGAACAGGATTTTCAGATTTTCTGAAGGACTTTCAGTGAACCATTTAGAACATTCAGGCAGCAATTTAATGAAACCAAACATCTGGATCAAGTGAACTTGCTAAGCATTGTAGATGGGAAGGGTCAACCTTTCTTTGTTGGGAACAATAATTAGATAGAAAAATAAATTTTAAGAAATACATATTTGTTGCATCTATAAAATAAAATGCTACGTACTTGGAAGACCAGTATGCTTTTTTAAAAAAATAAGTTTTTATTTTATTTTATAACATACAAAAATTCCAATTTCAATTGAACAGTGTGCTGCCTCGGTACAAATCATTTTAGGAAATAATAATCACAGTATTTACAACAATATTCATTGCATTAATATCAATTATATTATGTTAATAGCCATAATCATACTATTCGTTAAACCAAGTTATTGTATCTTCCTTATATCACTAGTCCTTTCAAATATTACTCTGTTTTTAGCTTCTGTTTTTGTCAGCTAACCATTGATAAAATAAGACCCAAGTCAAAAAATGTTCAGTTTCTTCCTTTTCCTCAATTGTGTTAGCTTATACATTTCTGCACATTCTAATATTTTTCTAATCACATCTTCATCTGTTGGAATCTTTTCACTTTTCCATTGTTGTGTCTATTCTTGTTGCAATCAATACATGTAAAATCAGATATACATTCCCTTTGTTACATCTATCTCATAGACTGCCCAGCAAAAATGTCTCTGATTTCAGATCTGTATGTAGTTTTATCATTTTTTCAAGCCATGTATGTATCTTTGTCCAATATTTTTTCACTTTTTGACATGTCCACCGCATATGATAGTATTTACCAAGTACTGGTGGCATTTCCAACATTTTGCAGAAATACCCTTTAACATCTTTGCTAACCTTGAGGGCAGAAAATGCAATCTATAAAACACTTTATAAAGATTTTCTTTGTATGCAGTAGACTTGGTTAACTATCCCATAATTTCTGCTATTCAATCAAATAACCAAAATTTTTAGCCCATACTATCATTGTCTCTTTTACTTGTTCCTCTTCCATCTTGATACTTAACAAATAGCTATATATTTTCTTTGTTAATTTTCATCTGTTCCTGTTAACTGTGTGGGAGAGTGGGGAAGATCCAGTATGCTTTTTTAAAAATAAACTTTATTGAGTTTTACAAATAAAATACACAAACAACATTCAAACAGATTGGGAAGGAAAGAAGAACAAGTAAATGGTTAAAAACGATTACATCATCAACAGTTTGTGGTTCCTTATTTATCTCATTATTTTGTGCCATATTTGCAATTAATCTTTAGTGCGAATATTTAATTACTACTATTAACACTCCTCATTCACAATTTATTACTATTATTATTATACGGTCTATCTTCTATCAATCCACTCATACCAACAGTTCCAACTCATATAGTACTCTGATACTTCTTTATTTTTTAGTGCTGAGTTAATTTATCCATTTCTGCACAGCTTGATATTTTCTGAATAATCATTCCCTCAGGTGGAGTATAAGGTTGTTTCCAGCATTGTGCGAAAGCCAATCTAGATGCCATCAATATATGTAGTATTATATATTTAATTTGGGGGGGGAATTGTCTGTTGAGAATCCCTAATAAGAAGAATTCTGGTTTTAGTTCAGTCTGCTCAGCCATCATTTCCTCCATCCATTTCTTTATTCTCAGCCAATATCTTTGGGTTTCTGTTCAAGTCCACCACATGTGGTAGAATGTTCCTTCTTTCTTTTTTACATTTCCAGCATTTAGGGCTCATGTTGGGAAACATCTTCACTAATCTCGAAGCGGGGGGATGCCATTTTATATGCATTTTCTTTATATGATGCCGTTTTTGTAATTTTATTGTTTCTATTCCAGATCTTCTACCATTCTGTTAGAGTAATGCTACGGCCTATATTCCTACTCCAAGCTATCATATTACCTTTAACTATTTCTTCCTCTAATTCTATCTCTAATAAATAGTTGTAAAATTTTGTTATATTTTTTTTATCTGGGTCTAATATAATTTTATCTAATTCTATTAGGCCCAGTATGCTTTTTGAATAGGACAATATGCGACAGTTTACACTAAGATGATATATTCAAATATTACATTTTTAATTATATATTACATGACTAAGGATTTTCTTGTACCTAGATGCAGAGAAAAAAAAAGCCACAGAAATATTTAATTTCAGAACAACTTAGTGATGTGGGAAATTTCATCAGGTAAATTCCTACTTGCTTCCCCCGATTGTTAATGTGAACAGGTGTATTGGGGAAAAAAAAGAATTTGTGGAAAAAATATTCCAAAATAAGAAAATACTATAGTATGTTTAGTTACAGTAATTAGCTACTAATTGAAGTAGACAATTCTGGACATACATTTGCTTTAACGTGCTAGAAGGTTGCTTTGCATAAACTACTTGTAAAAAGAGTAACCATTCTTAATGTTTCATTTCTTTAAAAATATTGCAAATAAAAGTCCTGCAACTTATGTTTGGTGAAAGATATTATTAAATTCATGTCTCTATTCCAGTTGTATAAGTTGTTGTTAGGATTTCAAGGTAAGAAAAAAAATTAATTTAATTTTTTAAATCCATATGAGCTGCTAAAGAAGTGAAAGTGTGGAATAGCTGTCTATTAGCATCAGTAAAAAACTGACAAATTGGGTATGAATCTATTGTCCTGATGGAGAATAGCAAATTAGGGCCAGCTTTTCTTTCCAAATCTGCATCTGTGATCAAATTTCCCTTACCACTGCCTAGTTTTCCCCTCTCTTTTTCATTTTGCTTCTGTGTTCCAATGATTTTATTAAGCAAGCTTTTGTTTGCATCTGGCTTCATTCAAAATGTTTTTATTTGCTTCCATTTGAATTCAACACTTTAAAAGGGTGATTTAAATTTTTGTAGAACTGGCCAAGCCAACTTCTGTGCCCCAAGCGGTTTTTGTAATGGGCACCAGAAATGCAAACCTTTTAAATTTAATTTATGCTGTTTAATCAAGTTGCAAGGGAGCGTGTAGAAGTCCTGCAATTCCAGAAAGTATGTGTATTTTTTTTTTTAAAGTGTCTAGTTCTATGATTTTGTTGGTCTGACTAGCATGTGGTTAATAGTGGAGAAGGGCAGCAAAAAGCTGTTAAGGCTAACATACTTGCCAAAAAAATCAAAAGCCAACAAAAATATTGAAGCACAGAAATGAAATAAAATTGGCCTGAAGCTGTTTCAACTGCCATGTTTTCTTCTCAAAAATCTTAGTAATTACTGAATATAATTATATTATATACTATAAGGTCTTGCATATATATATATATATATATGCAGAAGTATAAGTTGATATTATTTTCAAAGAATAAAATGGATTGTATAATTTAAAGTTACAAGTGAACCTTTTAACTTTTTTTCTATGAAGAGTTAGCAGAAGAAATGGACAGGAACATATTTGCTGTTGTTTAAACATCCATACTGTAAAATTATTTCCCATGAGGAAAACATGTAAGCACAGCTTCTGTACCATATCTGTCTAGCTATGGTTTGTTCTGCCAACTCTGGGTTTTAATACACAAGATCCACTGAAACCTGTTGAGAGCTCAGTGCCTAGCAAGATGCTTTGCAAGTAATGACTCCCTGAACCTCCTCCACTGAGGGGCTCAAAGCTCCTGTTTGTTCATACTGCAATATAGTGGAAGAATGCTATATAAAAGGATTGTGGCAACATTTAATGTATCAGTTGTTATTACCGTTTAGTGGATTGGTAGCACATGACCACCAGAGGGCGCTTTGATAAAACCTCCTCAAATGTGGACCTCTTTCTGTTACCACCTCCTTCTGTTCCATCTGTAAGCCAGACCAAGGGCTGTTGAGTAATTTCCCAGCAAAATAATAAGCAGGATTCTTGCCTTGTTGTAACTTGAACTCCAGTTACACGGCTCTTCTGTCTCCCATCATACCATTAACAGAGTCCACACTTAGTATTTTTTAAACCTGGTTTTTAATTCTACAAAATATATGCTGATTTATTTTATCCCTATCTAGTTGTAGTTGGATATTTTTATCGTATTTGTGGTCTCATTCGTCTTCTTTAAAAAGACAGGATGGAAATAAAATAAATAAACAAGACTGTAGAATTCCCTCCTCCTATTTCCTTCCTGATCTTCCATTTATCCATCTTCCTCACTTGCTGTGCAACAAATTGCGAATTCTGCTCTCAGCAATTTGTTAAATAGGATGGTAGGGGTAAAGAACAGGAAGCAACAGTAGCTGTTTAATCTCCCATATCAACATATGCTCTAAAAGGTTTCTCTAGTTTCCAAGAAATGTTAACTCCCTTGAATATCTTGACGGAAACTCTGATAGTAAATTGAAATTGGTTGAAGTGTTACATTAGATGCATTGATACACATTTGAAACCTACTGATCCTCCAGCATATTTGACTTCACTTTTTCATATTTTATGATTCGCTAAACAAGCCAAACATCACAATGTTGAATAAATGTGTAAACTGGATTCTGGCATAATAAACTTTAGTTCCTCACTTAGTTATCACTCTAAAAATCCATGTTAATTTTTGAGCAGGTAGGTCTCTAATAAAACTACGCAGAATAAATCACAGTTGCCTGTTTTGTTTTGTTTTTTTAAATGGGGAGTGAGGAGATGAGCTCTTGCATTTTTCTAAAAAGTACAATATATCAAGTCATGGACTATGATTTCACTTAGATCCTTATCCACAGGACCAGAACCTTAGCTTATATGGAATTTTCTGGTATCTGTCTTCGAGAACTCCTGTAAGGAATGTGTTAAATCATGTTAAGGTTAGTACATTCTGGGGTTTAGGGACAGTTAAATGGTCATCCACAAACGTGCTCAATGCCATCTCAGTCCTGTGTCCAGGCTTGAAACCTAATTAGAAGGAATGCAGATAATCTGTTTCATCTGGACCCCCTGAAGCTGCTGCCCATCAGAAGGGAAAGTTACAAATGGGCTGGAAATAATCCACTGCTCCTGGGTGTAATCATGGCTTCTTGAAGAGAGAACACATTGCCTACTCCTTAAAGTCAGAAGGAACCACAGATGAACTGACCAGTATTTGGATTCAATCACATATGTCCTCCTGGAAGGTTTTAAGCAACTTTTAAGACACATGGATCTAACAAACAGATGGCTGTGCAACAACCTGAAGGATTCCTTTCACTTTTTTCGGACATATTGGCACAAATGCTTCCTAGGTGATCACACCAGATTATACTTCAATTAGTTCCAACAGGATCTGCACAGCTTGAGTCCAACATAGAAAAAATTGGAATGATTAGTATTTAACACATGCTCCAATAGTCCTCATGTTAGGTATAGGGATATATCAACAATCCAGTTCTTAATACATTCCCCACCCCCCATTTGTTGACCTTCATATATTTTCATAACAACTTAAATTGTTTCTTCTTAAGTGGTTATGGATAATCAAGATTCGTCAGCTGTGTATTTGTTCTAAGAGCTCAGAAAATCACTATTTTCCATTGATGGAACTCCCCATCCTCATTTGATGAGCTAAAATGTTTCTCACAGTGTTTCATGTAGACTTCTGCAGAGAAGGAGTCTGTTTGGTTTCAGAGTTGTTGACAAGGGGCCTGGCATTCTGGAAGAGACTTTTGTTTCATTTCTGTCCACAAGAGCTGCCCTTCTTCAAGGCAAAAGCACCATGGAGCTTTTTTTGTTCACAGAGATCGATAATTCAATACAGACTACAGCGGGCGTGGGAGCATGCGTTTAAAGGCGTGACATCTCGACCTTACAGCTGCAGAGAAGTTCAGCAAGAAGAAAGTAGAACACATATGCATACACATTGGGGAAAAATCATGTGCTCTAGCAAAATATTAAGCTTCAAATGCCTTGAATTCATAGTATCCTACATTTGCTCTTTCTTCTTCTTTTTTAAAGTTAAACTAACCAGATGTGCTCTCTTGACACTTGCTTTTTGGATTGCCAACATCTGGTAATCCCACCACTGGAATCACATTTAACCCAGAAAGTGGTTGCCAAGACTCTCCATAGTTGTTCACTTTGATACTGTTTGCCACAAATCCCCCGCCCCACATTTTGTGTTGTTTAAGAACAAAATGAGTTCATAAGTACTATATATTGTATAGCAAGCATTCTTTAATCTGTCCAGTTTATGCTTAAGACTAGAAATTGACTTTGGTAATGAAAAGGAACATTACTAGATAGCCTGCTAGTGATGATCTGGATAATAGCAATATCAATAGCACTACAGCATTTTCTGGGCAGTTTACAGTATCAGTATACTGCCTCCAACAATCTAGGGGCCTTGTTTTACTGATCTTGGAAGAATTAAAGGCTGAGTTCCATCAGGTTCAAACTCCAGGCTGTGGGTAGAGTTAGCCTGCAATACTGCATTCTAACTACTCTTCCAGTATGGCTCTGTGTGAGTTGAGGGGCAAAACACATGGTTAGTTCACAGCAAGGGCACCCATCAAGGCATAACCAAGATAGACCATAAGTTCAAATCTCCCTCTTGTGTTTATTGTGGTCAGATGGATGGGATGGGATGGATGGGAGGCTCTAGGTACTTTAAAATCCAATCAGCTGTTTCCCTGGCATTGAGTCTTCTGTTCACACAATGGGAAATTGCCAGGATAAATTTGGTTAATAACTTTTGTCATGGTTACAGGCTTTTCTAGACCACTAGTGAGGTATTTGGCTAAAAAGTCAGTTTGAAAGAGGCCAGCATAAAATCCACATTATCCAGCTTTTTTCCTACCTGAAAGAAAATAAAGTATACAGCAACATCAGCAGAAAATGAGCATTCTTGAAGGTCTGATCTTTGAAGCTACACCCAGAATCTAAAGAAACATTCACATTCACATCTCTGGATGATTGGATTATAGTGGATGGCTGAAAAATGCTTGAATGGATAACAGAAGGAAGAGCACTGCCTCAGAGAAGCGAAATAGCAGAACTGAGGGAAGAGGATTGCCCTGAGGGTTTTAGGGCAGGGCAATTCATTCAAGTATAGTGGGCATGGAGTGCTGTAGGTAGGAACCAAACAGCAGGCAATTGCAAGGGAAGGGAACACTTAAGACTGGTGGATATTCCGGTCCTGTGAGATCATGCCCAGACCTCTAGACAGCAGTCTTTCCTAGGTCTTTATTGTTAACCAACCTTATGTTCAGTTGCTGCAGATAAACACCAGGTTGGTTAACAATAAAGTACTCCTTATTTGTCATCTTATTGGGAAGGAACAGGCTGACCTGGTGTGCATTATCAAGACTTGGCTCATCCCAGAGATGTTGCCCTCTCGGAGATGTGCCCAGCTGGGTTTAGAATTTGGCACCAAACAAGGCTACAGGGTGGAGGAAGTTGTTAGTTGGGAATCCCTTTTGATCTTCAGGGACCTTGCTCCCAAAGTTTCCAGATCTGAGTCCATGTTCCTGAGATTGGGCTTGCAGGATCAGTTGAGATTGTTTCTGCTGTATCAACTTCCCTGTCCTTAGCACCTTGCCTAAACTGCCAGATGGTGTCTGAAGGTTGGCAATGGAGTTCTCCAGCCTTATAGTCCTGAGAGACTTTGATCTGCCATCCATGAGCTTTGCCTTGAGATGGCTTGAGTGTTCATGGCCACCATGATGGCCCTAAGTTATCCATGGCCAACCTTGAGACAGTGGTCACATTCAAGATATGAACAGTAGAAATGTTGGAACAGTAGAAATGTAATCTATCAGGGGATCTGTCAGTGTCTCCTCTATCATGATAAGGCCATACTCTGGCAGCTTTGAGATCCTCTTATGCTGCCTCCCTTTGCAGGGAGGCTGGATCTATTTGAACCCTTGGAGATGGATCCACTGGAGTTCAAAAGGAAGCTGGGGGAGACCCTGGGGACACTGCTGCATGTTCCTGTGGAGGTTCTAGTGGCAACCTGGAATCAGAGAGTGGCGAAAGCCCTGGACAGGATTGTGCCTATGTGCCTTGTCCTGGCCCAATACTCTCCATGGTTCACAGAGGAGCTGAGAGCATTGAAAAGGACCAAGAGACATCTAGAGCCCTGCTAGGGGAAAACAAAGAACAAATCTGACAGAATACAGGTTAGAACTGCAATTAAGGCATACCTTGGCAACAAGAGCAGTGAAACGCCAATGTTTCTCGGCATTTATTGCATCCACAGAATGTCACCTGACAGCCTGGTTCAAAGTTCCCCAGTCCCCCTTGGGAAGGAAGGCTCAGATGACCATATTCAGAGCTGCCAGAAGTGGTTTATGCAATGCATGATGGATAAAATTGCTCAGTATTGTCCTCGGACTCCAAGCATGGAGCCAATCCATTAGAGATACACGGGGAATGGACTTACCCTGCAGCTTGGTCCTGGGAAAGTGGACAGGATCCTCAGCTCTGTCAGCACAACCACTTGCTTATTAGACCCTTGTCCTTCCTCATTATCGAAAGCTTCAGGATGGTGACTTCTGGGTGGATGCATGCACATCACTGCAAGAGGAGGTATTCCTAACATACTTTAAGGAGACCATGATCTGCCCCCTCAAGAAGCTGTCATTAGACTAGAATTCCATTGGGAACTTTTACTTGCAAAGCAAGTATTCTGCCAAGTATTCTCTACTTTAAGCCGATGGATAGGGTCATTGACTGAACCTGGCACCTATCTCCCATAAATGAATGATAAGAAATGTGTGTCTTCCAGTGTTGCTGAACTACAATTCTAAGCACTCTAATTAACATGGCCAAGAATAAGTGATACTGAGCATGTTTCAGCAACATATGGAATTTTTTAAAAAAGACCATCACTTTCAGTAGTCATTTGCCAACCTTAATGATAGGGGATTTAAGAAATGAAGGCTCAGAAATCTTAATCTTTCAACATATTGAGGCTGGCATCTTGCCAGTAATGCTCATGATTAAAGTAGTATGTGTAAATACTACAGCGGTTTATAATCCACAAAGCAGCCTCAAGATTCATCAATCTCTCAGTCAGAATGATAACCTAGGGAAGTTATTATTCCACATTAAAGTTTGTGAAGTCTTAAATCTTTGTATAACTTAATTCTATTAAAAATACCCCAGACTTTAATAAAAAAAAAACAACCCACATCAAGTGGATAGAATAAAGCAAACAACTTTACTTTCCAATTTGTATGATAGCAAGTGAGAACAGTTGGTTTATTACAAAATCAATGTCCTTAAAGTTATTCAGTCAAGAGAAATACAATTTTTAGTAATTCCTGGACCCCCAATGAGCTGGCTTATGAAAAGGTTATATGTGCAGAAGGCAATTTCTTGAAGAATAAACTTTGCCCAATTTTCAATGATCTTTTAATCAAAAATAAAACCATACACAACCCTTAATATATAATCTATAGGTAAATACCAGATCAATATAGATAAAACCTTACAAGTTGTAAAAGATTTAGTCTGAAAAAAACAAACATCACGAAGGAATTATTATAAGTAAAATTGCATGAAAGGAATATACTAAAAACTTAAATGAAAAGATTGTTTATATTGTAGGGTGGATAAACTTTGAGTCCTTGTCAATAGTAATATGTATCAACTTTTTCTAATTTATTCCTTTCCATATTTGCTGAGCTATGATTTCCATAGCTGATTCACAGTTAAAAGACTTTTGAGTTGTCTTGTTCCATCAAGATGAAGATAAGATGAGCCCAGTAGGAATGTTAAGGCATACAGGTATTTAAAAAAACTGAGTCAATTTCTGCTTCCGAATGTACCTCTGTATTTAGAGTTTAAAAACCAACAATTAGTGTGATGTGAGGATTTAATATTTTTCACCACCAGATTGATAGCTATGGTTCTAAACTGCTTCCTGGGGGATTTTTTTTGATGCTATTGCATAATCTCTACTCAATGTATACACAAAAATGCTTTTTTTTCCTGGAAGAGGAATCTATTTCATCAGTATTTGAAAAGCTATCCATGCTGCCTTGCTATGATGCAAAAGAAGCTTGAAGAGGTTGCATTGCGTTCATTAAAATCTGGGATAAATTTCCCTTTTTGCCCAAAGTTGATGTGGAGGAAAAGTAATGACTTAGCAAGAAGAAGAAGCAAAAATGGGCTTTACACTCTGGGATGTTCTTTCAACTTCACAGTTGGTGGTGAGCATACAGCCCTACATTTCCTGGTGGTTCTCCATCCAAATATTAATGAGGCCCAAACACTCTTAACTTTTATGAGATCAGCCAAGGTCAGCTAGAAACCAATATTTCTCTTCAAACATATTTTGCAGATGTTGCCTTTGTTTCTTAACATAAGGCATGACAATAATTTTACACTGTATTCTAAGTATTTCCTCTACTGTCGAGAACAGGGTTTCTTAACTTGGCAATCTTAAGATGTGTGGATTTCAACTCCCAGAATTCCCTAGCTAGCACAGCTTAGTATATCATCTGGCTTTCCATAGCAGAGAATAGCCTGAAATTGGCCAGGCTAGTAGAAACTTTCTGACACCACAGAAAGACAGCTTCCTAGTAGGGGATGAACACTATGCTAGGCACTATTTTGGTGGCCTAAGTTCAGATAATGTAGGTAGGAAGGAAAAGGATAAAACATAGAGCAAGATTTTTCTTACTTCTGACTTAATCTCAGTAAGAGGCTATTCTCCTGGCAGGCCACCTGGGCAAAAGCTGGAGGTGTAAGTCAAACTGTAAGTCAGAAATAAAGTTGAAAAAGATTAATAAAATATACATTATTTTTGCTTAGAAACACAAAGCGGGATATAAGCTGGCTTTGCCTTAATGCATCGTTTTACTAGAACACCAGAGGAAACAATTCTTGCAAATTTCTGCTACTCACCTGGCCTGTTAGCTTCTCTAGGGCTATTGTATGTAGGTGGCAAAGATGCAAGCAATCGCTATATATTTTTTGTAGTTCTAGATTTCCCACTGTTAAGGCTGTGCAAACTAATGAAAAGAGTACTTTGTTTTGAAGGGCACATATTTGCAAAGCACTATTTGGTATGTCAATGAAGATTCTCAGTCTTCCCAGGAGGGTTGCCTGAAAATTGAGTCCATGGCAATTGGACTTATTTTTGCTGATTTGAAACATTTGGCTGCTATCCAAGCGGCTTCCTTAGTTAAGGCAAGTTAGTTAGGCAAAGAGTCATTGGAATGTACCAATTCCTGCTGCACAAAACTCAGGGTTTATTCACCAAGTATGTGACAATATGTCAATGAAAATTCTTAATCATGGAGGTAGAGTTAGCTGAAAATTGAATTGTCTAGATTGGTGCTAGAGGAATTGTAGATTCTAATGACTCTCTGCCTAATCAGCTTGCTCAGACTGAGGATAAGTCCAGTTGCTATGACTCATTTTTTCAGACACTCTTTGGAATATTATACAAAGTCACAGTCATTCAACACATTAAGCCCGACTTAGCCAGTTATGGTTTAGGAAACAATCTATCAAGGCTGGATTCACAATGTTTTAAGGAGTAAAGTGAGTTTATAAATCATGCTTAGGTTTAAACAACATTGTGCCTTAGCATGTGGTATGATTCTGTTCCCACTCTTAGTATGTTGGATGTTCATTCCCAATTTTTGAGAAAAAGAATTCTTTTTCAAGACAGGTGTTTAAAAATGTGATGCTTACTATAGTTTGTTCATGTTATGCTAAATGAGGGTTCTGTGGTGTGTGAAAAGGGATATTATTAATGCTGTCCTTTAAGACAAAGGAACTTTTGATTTAGGAGGCTACTGAGTCTGACAAAGAATTGTCATATCCAAACCACCTCCTTCCCTGGAGTTGGTTAAGCAGAAGCTGGATAACTTTCTCTTGGAGATGCTGCATTAATGGATTCCTGGATTGGGCAAGAGATTGGACTAGATGATCTACAAAGTTCTTTCCAAATTTTTTCAATGAAAATGCTGAAGAAACATTGAGGTAGTTTTGAGGTAAAGCAAATAGAGGGAAACCTCACTGATTAAGACAACCTTGTCTCTTTGTTTGTCAAACATGCAAGTCCATCTCCAATGTTTGTCAGCTTATGAGAAGTTGAGCCAAAGTTGTACAAAAATTCTTGGAAACTTGGGCTCAGCCTTTCTGGAAAAGGAGAATTAAAGAGAGAACATGACCATAGTTTGAAAACTCAGATGCAGCCAACTGGCCACAGTTTTGAAGAGAAAAATGGACTAGGAGGGAAAGCTTCAGGCAAAACACAAATGGCTTGTGTGTTAATAAAAACAAAATCTAAATGGGGCGGGGAAGAAAATGTTTTGGTAGCCCAGTTTGCTGGAAACATACTCTTCCTAGAATTCTTTTGTGACAAGCTTTATTATATCCATATGGGTTCAAGCTAGTGTACTGACAACCAACAAAATAAAAATAATAGCTTTTGAGCATGTATTCCATTATTCAAGTAGTGCTTATTTTTGAGAAGAGATCAGTACTGATCTCCTGGAAGCTGGAAACTATTGTAGAACAAAATGTAATAATATGGGACAGAAAGTATTTCTATCATTGTTAAACCCATCTATGGACATAATCGTGAATGTATTGGGCAAGTTTCTAGACTGTAGGTTATGAAATCCAATACTTAGCAGCAGTTATTTTTCTTTGGAGAAATCTAGAACTAAGACAACTACCATAGCCGGGCTGCAAAAGCTGGGAAGGCCCTAGATGGAGGTAAAGACATAAGAGTGGGCCTTTTGATTTTGGAATCTGATTGGGAGTCTTCCTAATGAGTTGAGGTTAGAGCTGCTAGAATTCTCTCCCATATCCCGCATGTGAATAGGAACAATGCACACAAGAAACTTTCATGCAACCAACTGTCAGGAAAGTATAGAACAATTTGGATGGGCATGTTCTTAAAACACACCTTCAAGACCAATCTGCTTTGTTTTAATCCTTGTCATTTCCTCTGCTCCTCTTTAGAGCAAGCAGAGATTGAGCTCCCTCCCACCAACAACTTCAGCCCCTGCAACATCCATGACCGCAAATGCCTGCAGAAACAACAAGCAAGAGCACGGGAACGAATAAACATTGGTGTCAAGATGAGGAACCACGGGAGCCTCATGCTCCGGGAGGATATCCGGCCAGTGGTGAGGGGCTTTGGTCTTTCTTCAGAGAAAGGGGAATAGAAACCATATTTCACTGAATTAGGCTCTTCCCATTTGCTGCTCACTTTTCCTCTTCATTTCCCAACATTTCAGATGCCTTCCAGATGTGTTAGAATTACAAGTCTCAGAATTAGCCTGCCAGCACAGCCATGGGATTTCTAGAAATTTTAGACTGATGCGTTTGGAGGGTTGAGGACAATCTGATTAAGAACATGGATTTGAAACAAGAAGTATTTGTACTTCTGTTTCTGTTTTTTGCTACTTTATAAAATTGATTCCCAACATTCCTCAGTGTTGGTTATTGCTAGTCATTTAATCCAGTGCACCAACTGAATTTATGGAGGCTTCTCTGTTATGGCCAAAGCCCCCCTTTGAATATCTCACTATGCTTGACTAATCAAGCTATAATGACTCATTAGCCACTTCCATTCCAGGGAGAGGTAAGCTGGTGACATGAAAATGTTCAGCTAAGATGATACTCACGTTTACTCTGAGAAACATGGGATGCATTCACAGTTCCTGTTCCTGTGTTCTGACTGCAGTTCCTCCTATTATTTTGCCAGCAGGTTCAAGGCTTGTGTCAGAATGAACTTCAGAGAGCCCTAGAGAGACTAGCAGCTTCCCAAACCCGAACCCATGAGGACCTTTACCTCATTCCCATCCCTAACTGTGACCAAAATGGACATTTTCATCCCAAGCAGGTAACCCTGAAGCGTGGGACAGCATGTGTAAACTTTTATTTTGTGGGGGCTACATTTTTTTTTTTGACCAAAAATTATCTTGACTTACAAGCAGATTTTTAATTCATTACAACTCAGAATTGCAACTCATAAGTGTTTGCTTTATCTTATGGAACTCCAACAATGCATCAGCATAATTGAGAAACCTGAGTGCAAAAAATAAACGTAGAAAGAGCAACAAACTTTCACTCTGTTCTCCAACTTGAATCTATGGGATGATGGAAAGTCCTTCTTGATGCTAATTATGATACTATAACAAGCTGCTTACTGTTCTTATACCTCAAAAGTTGGGCAGGATATTGCAATATGTAATAAATAGCTTGTTCTGACTCTTGAGAACTAGCATGATGCCTAGCACCCAACCTAGCACCTTTCTGATATGACAGATTACAGAAGATGGAAAATCTTAGTGAGAACTTTCTGAAAATATATTCTTGGTATCTTCAGTAAATAACTGTTATGATGGCCATAACTGGTCAGAGAACACATCAAGAAGCTGGTGAGGTGACTATTCATCATCCTGAAAGGTTCCCAACAGCTCCCTCTGCCATTCTATTTGCCTTTGCTTTGTGTGGAGTTGGTGGCACAGTTCCAGATAGCACACCTTTAAAGTAGTTCTGGACCTCTGTATTCCCATAGTATCAGTAATGTTGAAGAACTGAACTGATTTATTTCCAGTTCAGCTGTGGTATAGTTGATAGTTTTTGCTTTTTTGAGATCCTGTAGCTGTATTTTGCCATTTTCTTCATCCCAACTCTGGGGTTTTGGATTCTATATAAGGGAAATGCTAATTTGATGGTATTTCAGTAGCACAAATAAAATTAACAGAGGAGAAACAACTGGCATATAAACAACCAAGGTACCCAACAAATCCAGGCCACCTCAAATAGCTACACTTGGTGATAGTATTGAGGCTGAGCCTAGGCCTCAATTTCAGCCTTAGAGCCACCATATCACCACTGTCACTCAAAAAGGCTGATTTTTGCCATTTCCCATTCTTCAATAGCCTTGGAGGATGGTATAATATCCCTCATGGCCCAGTGCTCCCCAGGTTCTGCTGTGTACCACTTATTTTTAAACAGTGTTCTCTTTTTGTTGACTGGCCCCTGTGGCCTACTTGGTTGCATCAGGTCTTTGATCTTGAAGCAGGTTTGGAGAAGGTTCTCCCACAGCCTCAACCTTCAAAAACTGTGTAAAAGTACTCCCCATTCTTACACAATTTTCAGAGGCTCTGGAGGCCATGGAAGAGCACTGTCCTTTTGTATGACTTCTGGAAGGTTTGGAGGCTGCAGGAAAGCACATCCCATTTTCATGCAGCCTCTGCTATCTTCAAAAATTGTATGAGAATGGGGTGTGCTTTTGAGATTAGTTCTTGGATATTAGTGAACACTGGTATATCACCCACAATGTCATGGTGTATCATAGATTCATTACATCAAACTGGTTCTCGTGTAATGAGTCCAATATTTTCTAGCCTTCCCCCCTCCGTTGTTTATACTTCCAACATAAATTTAATGTACCTTTATACATTCTAGACAATTTTTGGTGACCTATACCAACTGTTGTATAAAAATTCTGTTTAAGACATTAACACAATGTACATTTCAATTCTTTCAACACACATTTTCCCACTATTCTATTTGCATATTGTAACAAAAATATGAGCCATTTTATCATGTATCATTTCACTTGTTCTTCTGTTTCAAATTTCAGTAGAAATTTATACATTTTAGCAATAATATGTTCATTTGTAAATGGATCTGTTTTCAAATTCAATCTTACAATGCTCAAAACCAAAAGTTTTTTTAATCTAAATATTTCTATAGATGTATATAAGAAAACCATTGACTAGTACGGTATATCCTATTTATATAAAAATGGTATAGGATGCAAGTAAAGTTTTCATAAAAGATTATTTTATAAAACATAATACTAAACTCAAAAAGAAGAACCAAGATACACAGGGCCTTATTGCATGATAAAATGATTTTAAAAATGTGCAGAGAAGACAAACATTTCTCATCAAATTAAACATTTATTACAATAGTTATTAATGTAAATGAAATGTAAAAATAAACTACCAGTATGTAAACAGAAAAAATCAGTTTACAAATAAATTGGGGAAAGGCTAGAGTACAAATTAAGAAAACAAAGATACTGAAACTTCAAGAGAGAAATATTGTATTAATGGATAATGGGGCTATACAAAAAGATGGAACAACTGAAGTTTGTGTTGCCTTGGTTATGGGTACAATGAAGGCAATGTGACAAGGATATGATGTCAAAAATAATTAGGAGCAGAGGAATATGAGAATGAGTTTTAAGTAAGGTTATATCATTTTTCATAATTATGTAAATTAATCTTCTATCTTTCTCCTTTAGTGTCACCCAGCTTTAGATGGGCAACGAGGGAAATGTTGGTGTGTGGATCGGAAGACAGGGGTTAAATTGTCAGGAAGTCTGGAAGTGAAGGAAGATTTGGATTGCCACCAGCCTGTAGATGGAGTGGAAGAGTGACCAGGCTGATAAGTGGACAATAAGACTTGCCTTGACAATCTGCCAAGGGAACTTGTTGTACTTAGTGTTTGATAAGTAGATGCAATGTAAACTGGGAGTTACCACAATGCCTTTTTTTCCCCTGAGGGGGAATAATAGCAGTAACGGCTGCCTTTCTCCTCAAAATAACTGCATTAATCTAAGCACAATGTGGCTTAGTCTCTTTTCTGTCTAACTGGGTAGCTATTTGCATCCATGGATCATTCTTCATTGACAATGGGAACTGTATTCCATGTGAATGACCATTGATGACAAAAAGCCCCACTGGCTTTAATCTTGAGTACCTCAGTAAGTCTTTTGAGAGTTTCCTCTGAGTAGACCTGCTCTTGTTTTTGGTATAAACTGTTAGGAAACTTGTTCTTCTTCCACCGAGAAAGGGAAAAAGTAAAGCAGGGGACAAAGTTCTTTCCCCCACTTTTCATAAAAGTCCACTAAAACCCAGGCTGGTTCAGTAGTGCCTAGACTTCTTCCATCCTAATATACTTTATCTTCTCAATGCAAGGGATAAATTACATCTACGATGAGAAAAAGTATGCTTATTCGAAAGGCTTCATTTTCTAGCCATGATGCACTGGTTTTCATTGCCACGGCTTAGTCTTGAAACACATTAAACACATTTTGTTCTTGAACAAAATCCTCTAATTTATATTGACCAAACAAACTTTTCTCAATCCCATGTTTCACTAACAGGACATCAGAGTTTCACTTTGAATTTGGGTTGTTGTTTCCAGGCATAATTTCAATTTCAATTTTTGCTTTAATTTAAATGAACTTAAATTGTTAATTCATATTCCAAATAGGGATAAAGGGATACAATTACAAAAAACTCAAATCATAATATGTAATAATTAAAATCATGCTTCTACATTCATATTTTTTTAAAAAAATTAAAAAAAAAAGATAGCTGGCATAATCTAGTTGATATTCTATCCTTGCTTGGTAATTAACTATTCAGTTTATTTTCAAGCAGAGTAAGATAATCTTTGGTGCATAGGATAATATCTCTGAAATCTAGAAAAATGAGATTCTAATCTAGGGCATTTGGTAATATAAATAATGGCGCCCCATTTGTAGTATTAGTGACAAAAGAACTTTTAGAAATTGGCATGGGAGCTGGATTTAGCAACAGTTTCAAGGATTGTGCTTTAGCTTATTTGACTAAAATAAGGGTGTGGGAGGGAAATGCTAAAAATGGGTCTATATATTTATTTAATTTACATTGGAGGTAGGATTCAGATTCACCCAATATAGCTATTTGCTTTCTTTACTCTTCCCATTAAATGTAGAGTAATTATAGCCCTGGTATAAAGAGATGTACCCCACCCAGGAGTACTTTCAATCTGGAAACAAAAGTGAAAATGTTTAAAACACCCAAGACTGAATTTGTCCATTCTAGAGTCCAATCCCATTTATACTAAAAACAAGGCTACTTTTCTTCTAGCATCTTTTTTTATTTCTAATTAAAGAGCAATAAAATTAATGCCATCAGGCAATCTTGCTGTAGAACAAGGAACCTCTTCCTCAAATGAAATGTTTCTCATTAGCAAGTAGAGTTTGCAACATTGGGGAGGGGGAGATAAGAAACTCCCAGCCTCCTTGCTGGAACTTCATAAAAATCTTCAGTTTGGGCTGCCAAAATTTGTTGGCAAAACCATTAATTTTTTATGGGGCAGTTTCTCACATTTTGCCTTTAAAAGGACAAATAGATCTCGATGAGGTGCAAAGTAATTCATTTTCTTTTTAAAAAATATATCCCTCAGATTAGGATGTTCTTCCTAACTATAAATATATATGTTGATCTAACTTTCAGATAAACAAATTGTCAAGAAGGAGACTGTGAAGCATGTTTTCAGAACATGGGCAGCACTAACTTTTGATGAAGTCCTTCACCTTTCAAGAGTGTAAGAACTCATTCCACATTACAACAGCCATGGGATGTTGCTCTTTCAAGTGGAGAAATCTTTGTTTGGACCTTGTTGCCCTTATTACTGACTGGTTTTAGAAAGGGAACAGTTTTAATAAGGAACTGAAACTGTCAGCTGCAGCCTTTCTTCCTGAAATGACATTATTCTAAATGTAGGTTCTTTTTTTAGAATGTGCTAAGACAATAATATATCAAAAGACAGAAACAAACACATGATGCATGAACAATAAAAAGGGAGGAAAGGACAAACAGCAAAGGGATATTAAAAAGGGGGGGAACCCAAAATAATTAATAACATGAGGAAAACAAACATATGGTTGAACCTTATCTCAATTAATCTATAAACAACAACTATCTCCAATAAACCTGTCAACTTGATATCTAACAGAGCTAACTAGGGAAAGAGGAATAAATAGCATATCATCAACTATTTCCAAATCCAGGCTGCTTGTGTTGATTAAAACAGTGTTTGGGGTTTTTTTTTTTTTTGGTTATATGGCAAGCTTTTAATTGGCTTTAGGGTGTTTATTATGTGGATTTGGGGAACCTAATCTTTTCTGGGAAATGAAAGGGAGAGTAGATTCCGATCTATTGAACCTGAGTCTGGCTACAATCCACTGTTGGAAGTTTTGGCTTTTAGTTTAATTCCTTTACGGCAAGTGATAATTGCTTGATCCCTTCTGGTCTATTGCAGTCCTTTAGTAGTGCAACTCCAGGAATTTCATAGTCATATAGTTCATTTTCAAGTTTTTGGACTTCCATTTTCATAATTTCCAGCAGCATCTGGTGAGCACCAATCTGGGAAAAACTGTAACTCCAAACACAACTGATTGGTGAAACACAGCATTTATCAAGGATGAAAACAAGTAAACTTTCATATTCAGTGTTCCATAACAGTGGCATATTAGTTATTGCTAGCTAACTTAATATTGCCTGTGATATTATATAGAGCTACACATTATGGCCTGTGCCTTCCTAATGGTGTGAGCAATTTTTTAACATCTGCAGGTTGCTCTAACGTTTGTGGCACTGAACTTGAACTCTCATAATTTGCCTTCACCATAATAAGTGATTCAATTGTGGAAATTAGAAGTTGTCACCATTTCCCTATTTTTCCCCCTCAGGCTGTAGAGACAGTTTTCTCTATTTGAAAAAGAGTTGTTACATTTCTTTGAGGGAAGAGTTAACAGTTTTGTAGGTTTTCCTGCCTCAAAATGGCACGACCGGTTTGAGATAGCTATGGTGCAAGGGGGATAGGTGGATCACAAAAGAAGATGGGAGCCTCAGGTTGCCTATTTCTTTATTGCTTTTGTGTAGCCACAGTGCATTTTTTAAACTGCAGTTATCTGAGAGCCAAGTCCACTGAATTCAGTGGAACTAATATTTGAATAGCTGTGCATCCTATTTCATATTTGCTACATCAAACATAGCATCTTTCAGCAGAATCCCATACAATGCTCAGCAATTACACTTCTAAGTAACAAAAATGAAGAAGTGAAGGTTAATTTTTGTTGAGAGGAGATATTCTCTCAGTGCCAGAAACTAAAGCTGTGTAACCTTCAAACACGATTCAGTTTGAAAATTAAGTCAACTCTTAAAATAGCAGCAATTTTAATAGTTGATCTCTTTCACAGATTATTTGAGAAATGCAGAATTTAAAATCCCATGGAGTCCAGAACAATTCTTCTGAATCCATTTTGAAGCAGATACAGTCTTATTAAATGCCTTTTATTTCATATCTGGGAACATACGACATCTTCACACAACTCATGTAATCCAGTCAAACCTGGTAGTATTGTATACTTCTATATCACGCCTCTCTTCATCCTATCAGGCTTTTGCATACAATAAGAGCTGTGATTATTTGCTAATATATTGGTTGCAATATTTTTGTTTGCTGTGAATGTTATTGCTCTTAATTCTATTTTTTTTTAAAAAACAAACTTTTCAAATGATACAGTTGTTTATATCACTTAATTTGAATATTTCTGGGAAAAAACTATTTATAAATGGTAAAAATAAAAGAAAAAATAAACCAAAAATATCCAGAGTGGTATTTTTTACATTTATATTTCCAGCTTTCTTTTTCACTGGGGATGATAAATATTCCATGTGTTCCAGATAATCTTGGCAACTTTAACAATTTTAACAGATCTCAATTTGCCAAGTTTGAAAAACACTGAGATAATCCAATACAAAGGAAGAGAATCATCATAAACAGTAAGAAAAATAGGCATTTAAAGTTCTTGATTGCTACCCCCCTATACCCACACCTACACCAATATCAATTTGAGAAAAGAATATTCAAATCAAACTATATCTTACGTGAAAGTATAAGCAATGTCTTTTTCCTCCTTTTTCTTCAAAAGAAACAGAGGTGTTTCTTACACCTTTAACCTGAAATGGTTCCAAAGTAAGAAAGAAAGTAAGAAAGAAACAGACAGACAGACCTAAACGAAATGCAGTTTATTAAATGCACTATTTGCAGTTAAAAGAAAAACAAAAACTATAAAATAATCTTGAGATTTCAGCAGGCATGGAGAAGGAATTTAAATATTTTCTCCCTTGTTTTGTCCTTCTGAGACATATCTAAGGGCAATTTTTTTTTACAGTGCAAATACCTCTTTAGAAGAATTGTTTTCTTCAAAGGATTATAAAATCTTCTTTCCAATAACAAAATTCCAATAAGCAACTGTTTCTTCTTTTTCCTCTGGCATGTAGTTTTTTATATTTTAAAGCGAACGATCTTACATATTAGAACCAGAAGTATGTAGCATTACATGAAAGTAGAGTGTAATAGATTTATTCAGGCATAATTATATGAAGGAGTTCTCGGCAGCCCAAGACTAATGCACTTCTGTCTTTTTTCTTTATTCATATACAATTATGATAGATCCTTGTTTATACAATCAATGTTGCATCTGATTAACTATGCTATAGTTGGTCCTTGCTTTGTTTCAAGATTTGTTGAAAGTAAAAATGAAAAGAGAATCACCAAAGAAATGGGAGGAGGAGAATGTAGGAACCCAAAGATACAAATTGTTCTTTAAATCAATGACCATGGTGTACTGAAAAAATGGCTGGCATTCTCCCCTCAAACTCATTCTTTCCTAACTAAATTTCCACTTCAGGGGTCAGAAGAAATAAAACAAAAGAAAACAAAAAAGACATCCCATGTCCCATCCATCATTTCCTAAATGTGGATTAATTAAGTAGCAATAAACACAAAGCCATGCATTCTTGATGTTGAAGAGAAGAATGGGGGGCGGGGGGAGGGAAGAGAGTTCAGGTGGATGTGATCATTGTAATTACAGACAAACCAAATTGCAAAACTGCATTTCTAGCCTGATGCATATAATCAATTAAAGGGCAGAGCATCGGAAGTATTTTCTAGAAGGTGGGACTTCATTCAGACCAATATTAACCCAGTCAGAGTATAAAGATACAAGCTGAAAAGACCGAACACATCTTTTCAACCAAGATCTTATATTTCTCAGATTATCGATCAACCTCGAACTCTGAAATGATAGGAAGCAGTGAATTCAAGCTACAAATTCTACAAGATTATTCCCTGTTGCCAGGGTCCTATGCCAATAAACAATATTTCACATTTATATAGCACTTTCAACAATTCAAAGCAGTTCACATATATTAAGGACTTTTGAATCACTGTAAGCTTCCTTGACTGAAGAAAGCTGATGTTAGATCTAAAGCAGGAATGTGGAACTATAGCCTCTTTCATGACTTGTAGACTTCAATTCCCAAAATTCCCAAGCCAGCCATGTTGAAGTCCACAAGTTATCTCTGATGTAGAGCATGGTATGATTTATTGACATGGTTATTGCTGCTGCCATTTATAGTTATATAAAAGAAAAACTGTGCTTTTCCCATTACTCCTTGTAATGCCTGAGTGCAAGAAATCACTCAAAAGTCTCTATTCTAAAACAATGTTTCTTAAACTACTTAAGCTTTTGTTTGTGTAGGTTGTATGGATCAATATTTATCTATAAAATATCCCAAAGTTTTCTCTGGAGCAATTCCTAAATCCTATTTAAGCTCCATTTCCTCTATTTAGGCTCAATTTCTAAAAAAAAAAAAGAATGATTAAAAAATCATGAGTCCATATCCAATCCTTTCTCACCCAAACATAAATAAATCTAATATAACCCAATCCAGCATTCAGATTATATTATTTTCTTCTCCCAAGAGTAGGAAATGCAGAATGCTTATTTGTGGAGTGGAAATTTCCTTTGGGAAGAGAGTCTTGAAATCTTATCATAATTTTGAAAATATAATTGAAATTGCACATGGGACTTCCTACAATAAAGAGTGTCTATATTTTGCAGTACAATATTAGCAGAATGCAAATATAATTAAGACAAGCAATGTGGAAGCTAATTGTATAAGACTTTAATGAGGGAAATCACAGGTTGGACTAAGTTCTCTCTGTCTAATCTATCCTACAGGGTAGCTAAAAAAATAAATTAAATAATTTCTTTGATTAACTGGCAGAGGAAGATTCTCATTATGCTGCTTTGAGTTGTAACATCTATTTAACAGTTCAACATGCAAAAGATAATTTCCCTATTTTTGTGTATTATATATTCTTTATGTATTCTTCCCAATTTATGTAGAGCTAACATCAGTGAAGGAAAGGGATTTATTTTTTTTCCTCCTATTGCTTCTATTATTTAGAAAAGATATAAATATATGTGTTATTTTCCACCATAAGACAAATAAATACGAATATGACTCTAAAAGCACTATTGTAGTGTTGGCTGGGAAATTGAGATTTGAAATCCTCACCCGAATAAAGTTGAGAAACATTGCATTATGGTGTTGTGCTTAGGTTAAAGTGATTTATTTACTCAAGATCTTAGAATCACTTTAGAGGAGAAGTGGGCAGCATATGTAAATAGCAATTACTTATAAGTCACTTAGACTTATAGACTAAGTGACTTTAGCCCATAGTGCTTTATAGCAGCGGTC